GCACCAGCTAGAGCATTTGTAGAGTGTATTAAAGGACACAATGGTTATAACTGATGTGAATATTGTGCTTAGAAAGTAGAGTGGTGTGGCAAGATAATTCTCCTACATCTTTCACTAATTTTAAGCACTGATTCAGATTTTTTGTCATTAAAAGCATTCGGAACATCTTAGTGGTGTGTTAAATTGAATTAAATTTTGACATGGTGACAAAGTTTCCTTTAGACTTAATGCATCAAGAATGCTTAGGGGTAATGCGAAGATTTCTCAACTTATGGTTAAATTGCCCAAATGTTGTAAATTGTCTCAGATTACAGTCATTACTTTATCTGGCGGATTGTTCTAGATACGTCATTACATTCTAAGAAATTTTTCTAGAAAATCAAGGTCTTAATTAGATATTAAAAAATGGAAAACAACTGAGCTTAGACTATTTATAGTATACACTGAACCAGTTGTTTAATGGGAATGGTTTAGCCAAAAATCTATTCAATATTTTAGATTTTTCAGTTGTAGTTCTACTTTCATAATGTTTCATTTTGTTGAAAAAATATGTTAATTTTGCTTTTCAGCTACTTATTTTTATATGTGAACTTTATCATAATATTTATCATAACTAGTGTACAATGTCCATTCATTAGCACATATAGGAAATAATACAGTTAAATTTTAGGTACTTGATAGATGTCCCTGTTTCAAATACAAAACTTTTTCAGGTCAATTAAAAAATGTTTGTCTAGGGGGCTCATTTGCAAATTTAGGGGCCCTTTTACAAATGTAAGGATTTTTTTTTTTTTAGGATTTTTATTTAGATTTTGTTTATCTATTGGAAAAATTTTTAGGAATTTTGGGGCCCTGACAGGTTTTTTTTTGGAATGGGGGACTTGTATCTAGTAGCCGCGGCACTGTATATAAGGTATATACAATATATATCAAATTATATACAATATGAATAAAAAAATATATTTAATTATTTTATATAATTTATTTATCAGTAACTAAAGGAATGTTATCAATTTATTATATGAATCATAAGCATGTGCTTATCTATTACAAGTACCTTTGATGGTGAAAATTACATTTTTTATCTTAAGAGAGTTGGGAGAAATGGTAAGAGTTTTATAACATTAAAATTAATGAATGTGTTACCAATAAAATTTAAAACTAACAGTTAAACTTAATTTTTTACAGTTCATATTGAAACAAGATATTGTGTAAAGAGGTTTTCAAAGAAGTTGTTTTAACAACAATGGAAAAGCTTCCGATTCCCGAGATAAACGTGAAAGCATTTGATACATGATTAAAGATTCGTTCGAAAGTTTGCTTAATTATGACATTGTAATTTTAATTACTAGTTTTTTTGAAATAAACCTTTTAATTTATATATAAATTTGCTTTTTCTGTAAATTTTAAACATTTAAACGTAGTTTTGCAAGATTTGCCATGGGTAAACCTCGTGGGACCCTCACGGGATACCCGGCGGGCATACCCATATGGGCCCCAGAAGAAAACCGCGGCCATGATCCGGCGGGTTCCCGATGGGTTTCCCATATGGGTTCCATTTGCAAACCCAAATGGGTCCCTTACGGTTTTAAAGTATGGGATTTGACAGGGACCCATACGGGATACCCGGCGGGCTAACCCGTATGGGTCCCATATGGAAACCGTGGTCATGATCCGTCGGTATACCGTTGGTCTTCCCATACGGGACCCAGTTGACGACCCGTATGGGCCCTGTACGGTACCCGTATGTCAATGTTGGCTGGGATTGCGTCGAAATCATTATTAGTTACCTCAACTTTGGACTCAAAGGCAAAAAGTGACTCGTGAATGCATTTTTTCAATTATACAAAACGTTCGAGTACTGTGTGAAAGCTAATCCAGCTAGTTTTGGATCCAAGTATTAGTGGAATATCTTTATCAAATTTTTCTAACGTGCGTTTTTGAATTTTGATCATTTTTTGTCGGAGAACGGAAAAATAAAAATTTCACAACGGTGCGCACCTTTTTGATTAACGGCTGCAGATCATCAGTCAGTTCAATAGAGTCATTCTCTTCACTTATTACAACTTGAAACCCGCCGGAAAAGTCTTCATCATTATTGGTTTTGTTTGTGTCATCAGTATTTCCTCGTCACTTTCTTTGTTATTGCATATTACTTTCAAGTTTTTTTTGCAGAAATTGACGATTTTTTGTACAAAATATCTTGAATACCTAGTTGAATCCCATGCCTAATGCACAACTGTTGATCACAGTTACTTAAACACCCCACTTTCTACATTACCGAAACTTTTCATATTTACGTTAGTGCAAAATTCAAGCAGGCGTTCTATATTAAAGCGAGTGACGTAATGATAATATTTTAAATTGGTGCTTCATTATTTAATGAAAACACTAAAGTAAATGAAATACTTAAAACTTCCAGTCACGATCAAACAACGCTTCCGGTAAGAAAAAGATAGCTAGATGACAAAAGACGTGTTTAAATTGTCTAAAACAAGTATTCTACGTATTTTATACGTCTTGAACACGTCTTTTACCCACAGGTAGCGACTAGCTAGCTGTTCGCTGGCTAGTTGCTAGCTCATTTCCTACCAAACCTATTGGGAAATGAGCTGGCAACTAGATATCAAGTATAAAGTGCGTAGAATACTTGTTTTAGACAATTTAAACACGTCTTTTCTCATCTAGCTATCTTTTTCCTACCGGAAGCGTTGTTGAAAGTTTTAAGTAATTCATTTACTTTAGTGTTTCACGTAAAGAGGGCGATAGCACCTGCTATATTATAAGCCCTCTGCATATATTTTTAATACTTTTTAATGGGCAAGTCTTGCGACATCGGTTTATTTTTTTCATCGGACATATTTTTAATGGGCAAGTCTTGCGACATCGGTTGGGAAGGAGTCGTGAACTTCCCATTAAATGCTCTTTCGCGGTGCTCTGTGATAAGACCGTAAGGACTTCTTAGGGCACCTTAAAAAAAAAAAAAGAAAGAATACCGGTATTGAGCCAAACCAATACCGGTATTTCGGTACTTAAAGATGTCCGGTGATACCGGTATTCCGGTACCGGTACTACTGGTATTGGAAGCACTATATATATATATATATATATATACATATATATATATATATATATATATATATATATATATATATATATATATATATATATATATATATATATATATATATATATATATATATATATATATATATATATATATATATATATATATATATATATGTATATATATATATATATATATATATATATATATATATATATATATATATATATATATATATATATATATATATATATATATATATATATATATATATATATATATATATATATATATATATATATATATATATATATATATATATATATATATATATATATATATATATATATATATATATATAATTATATATATAAATAATTATATATTTCAGATCATTGAAAAATTTGTTAGACGTTTGTACGCACACCTTCTAATTTTTCTTATACATTTTATTTGGACTCCACTCGTCCTCCAACTCTACTCCTTTCCATAGGAATTTACAAAAAAGTTTCTATTAAGTATCATAATGCAAAGGTGGTTAAGTAGTTTTATTATAAACTTATTTTTAAGTTTTAAAGAAATCGGGTAAAAAATATTTTAGTACCAGTATTACAGTTTTCAGAAATAAACGTAAAGTTTTTAAATAAAGAAGCGTTAGTATTTTCGCTCTTGCACATAAGTAATGTATGCCTTGCAACTATTGTTGTTGAATAAAGCACTGAAAAACAACTGAAATACATTCTTAGCTTGCAAGGCACTTTGTACTTTATTTTAACGTTTGCAACATATATCATTGCTTTTTCTTCTTCTTCTTTTTCTTCTACTCTTTAGTCCTTTTCAACATTAGCAGCTTGATTTATTATTATATTGATTATGTTTTAGTTTTTTTTAAGACATTGATTTTGATTGGATTCTTGTTATGTAAAGAGTTCTAAGATTTGAGAGATAAAGAAAGATAAAGAAAAGATAAAAAGATCAAGAAAATTGTAATTAATCGATTAATTAACCTTTCCACCTTTATTTTGGTTGTAATTAAATTCGTCCAAAGTCACCTTTGCTCCACTGCTGCTACTTGTTCTTCTGGGTTCAGATTTTTGAATGATTTTTTATTTATTTTTTATGCATCTTTGGCAGTTACTATGCCAACAAAATGGTTAAAGCAACTGGCTTACACAGGTTAGTTCAAGAATTTTAATAGCTGATGCTTAATGGTTTAAGCATTTAAGTTTAAGGAATAAATAGACATTTCTTCTAAAAGAAGTACATTTTTGGTCTCAGCTTACAAAAAAAAGTAGAGAAAAGCATTTCATTGGTTAAATAAAAAGTAGCGTGAGCTTCACTTAAAATAATCAAAAAAGATTTTTTCAGCTTCTGATTTTTTCCATTTTTTTCCATTGAAATTTCATCTTTTTCAAAATCAAATACCTTTTCATCTTTTCCATTGAATTTGATAAATTTCAAACACCTCACTGTATTGATAACGACTGCATACATTTAAACTACTGATTCATTTAATTAGTCTTTAATTTGGTTAATAAAAATAAAGGAAGCTTATAAAACGCCACAATGTCAAAATTGATTGTTTATATTTTGCAAAATTATAACCTCTGTAAATTCCATTCGTTTTTCAAAATAAAGAGCAAATCGCGTCGGAAAAAAGTTGTTTTCGCAACAATAAGTAATCTCACAGCGTATAGTGTTATTTTCTGCATTATTAACTTGAATTTATCTTTTTTTTCATGCTACTTTTAAAATTTAAATTGAAAATGCTTTTAAATTAGAAAAGCGTGCGCTTCCAAAAACTTGGCACAGTTACGCTTCGTTAAAAAAAACGTAAATACGCTATTAAAAAATGAGATGCGCACCAACTAATTGCGTTCGCCCTGTTTATATCGCGACTATGGCTCAGAAGATCAAAAAATCATGCCAAAGATGGATACGAGCTACTTAAAATTCCTTAAATGCGCGGGAGAACAGTTCTCAAATATTTTCATTAATTATTTCTGCATTAGTAATTATATGCAATTATTTTTTTTGTTTAAAACAGCTAATGAATCAAGAAAAAGTGTAAGGTATTAATTCGATCGTTTTCCGGGAAGACGTAATTGAACTTTATGGTTGGATGCATCCTAGCAAAAGAAGAGTTATTTACTACACAATATTTGCAACTTCGTTGCTTTGGATATGCGGAACTATAACGTTTTTATTTTTCGACGATATAGAAGTAACACTAGCTGTAAAAAGGAAAACGCTCGAAGCAGTTGCAGAACAATATTCCAATTTAAACTCTGAAGCAACAAAGGTAAAAACGCAGACATATAAAAACAATCTCCAGTATTCATTAGAAAGTGCCAACAAGCAGCTGCTCATTTCGACAGATATTCACAAAATGAGAGTAGCTGATTATGAAAGTTTTCTTGTTCCGAGAGATTATCAATTACCAGGAGAGTTAGGAACAGGTGTAACTGTAGAAGAGAACGAAAAGGAAAAAGAAAAGTTAGGATACGAGAAACATGCTTTTAACCAATTAGTTAGTGATAAAATTTCCATCCACAGAAGTTTAAAAGATTACAGGAATGATCAGTAAGATATTTTAATTAATTAATTCTTTTAATTATTTTAATTATTACTTCACATGTTAGTTACAATAAAAGTTGATTTTAAATCATTCAAAAAAGTTTATGAAAACAATTTCATGCAATTTAAAATGCTTTGCTAAAAATAATTTTGTATTAGTTTACCACAAACTTTTGGTGACCCAAAAGTTATGTATTTAGCAAATGTTTAACAAAATTAAACTTTTCTCATTTAAACTGGATAAAGAGGGGAGACGTATAAGGAAGTATAGAAATTGTTTACAGCTTAAAACGGTTTAAAATTTTCTGGAAAGGTTTAATTTTTTATTTATTTTTATTTATAACTAGTAATAATAAGCGGTTTCTTGTTGGTGGGTTTAAGGATTTTGTTAAGGAGGTCATAAAAAGTTTGACGATTGTTTAGTATAAAAGAAAAATTTGCTACTTTTCCTAGAAGATTGGGCGTAAATTATCCTTAAACTCATCTTTTTCACCAGTGATACACCTTATTTTATATATGTTTTTGTTGTAATCAATTAAAAGATTAAAAAAAATTACATAACTTATTTTACTGATGCAAAGAAAATTGGTTGAACATAAACATTTTTTTGTTTAATTCGGACAATAACAGGTGTTTCACGAGACTTAAGGCAGTTCCCTAATCTTGTAAAACTCAGCAAGTAACATAAGTTATAATTCCAAAAAAATTATCAATTTAAAATCTTTCATATTTTTTTAAAATGTATGTTATTTGATTTTTCGTTTTACCTCTTGTAGTAGCAATGCTGTTCAAATATGACTAAGCATTTTTATGACTATGACGCATTTTTATGACTATGACGCATTTTTTGACTATGACGCATTTCAATATGACTAAGCATTTTTATGACTATGATGATTTTTATGACTATGACGCATTTTTATGATTACGAAGCATTTTTATGACTATGACGTATTTGGTTATTGAATGTGCTTCTTATCAAGCTATTAACAAACTTGTTAGAAATTTAAATCTTCGTGCGGAATTTTTTAAAACAAATCAAATTTCAAAAAATATATAAATGTAAGAAGGTTTTTCAAATTTAAACTTTTGATCAAAAAAAAAACACTTTATCTACATTATGTTTTAATATCTTTAAATTTGGTCAAAACATTTAACGTTTAAAGGATAATCAAGTTATCTTGTGAAATATTTAAATAATTCTGTTCGTAGTTAACACTTAGAAATAAAACCAAAAATTGAGTAAACAAGAATGATGGTTGCAGTGGTATACCTTCACGTATTGTAAATTTGTTTACTATACGTGAACGTAATTGATTCCACAAGCTCGGACTCAATTTAAGAAATACTTTCAAAGAAGAAATTGATTATCTCTATAATCTTCAATATTTATCTCTATAATTTGTAATATTTATCTCTATAATCTGTAATATTTAACTAATTCTAAATGAATTCAAGTTTAAGCTAAAGAGTTCAATTTTATTTCAGATTTTGTTACTTTCTTATATAAAAATTTACTTCTAGAAGCTTTTATTTGAAAAAATCCTTGATCATTGCAGCTCTATGTGCAAGGAAGAAAATAATTTTATTTGTAACAACAAAAAAGGTTTTTCTAATATATTGTAATATATATAAGCGGATTTTCAATCAGACTTAGAACAACTTTGTATTGCTTTGTTGAACATATTTACAAACTCTAAAAAATAATTAAAAAAAAGTAGTTATATTAGACTGAAGCACGTACACAGAAAATAATTTATACCATAACGTAATAACCTGTAATTAACATAGCTTTAACTCACTTCTATACCTTTAAAATAAATACTTACAGAGATTTGGTGACGTAACAAAGAATAGGAGAAACCTGTTTTTTCAAGAATAGTTAATTATTTTAATAATCTTTAGATATATTAACAATTTAATAAAAATATATTTACAAGCGTTAAAATTCAATAATAATTTTAATATATATTAATAAATATGAAGGTTTAATAAAAATATATTATATATTATAAGACTTATATAAACATAAACGACGTAACAACACAAGTACACTTTCTTTTAACAATACAACTGCACTCTCTTTTAAACGAATTTTCCACCATTTGCTAACCATTGATCATACAATCTGCATAATAAATTGCAAAGTATGTTTTCAAAATTTTTAAAAATTAAAAGAAAGAAAAAAAAAAAAATTAAAAGATCATTCGAAAGATATAATCATTCGAAACGAGAAAAAATGCTTCAATGTAGCAGTTTTTTTCTAAGCATTTAAAGGAAAATTTTGAAATTTTTAGGCATTGTAAATAAAAATAAAGAAAATGTGTTTATCTTAGGGGTCGTCCATAAAGTACGACCTCACCTTCCAGTTTTGCCATACGCTTTTTTGAGTTCGCTCTACCTCCCTAAAAGTATCTACGCTTTTAACCTACTAACCCAACATTTTATGATATTGTTTTAAATTTAGTGTCTCCATACTTTTATAATTGACTTACTACCCCCATCCCCCATTTCACATACGCGATTTGCATTTCCCCTCTTTCTCTCCGAGCCTACGAACTATATGGACAATCCCTTGCCAAAAATTAAAATTAAACAAATATTGAACAAAAACACAAAAAATTTGTTAAAGAACATTTTTTAAAAACAACAAAACCTGGCAGGTATTTTAAATTAAAGTTTGAATAATTTTTTTAATGAAAAGAAAGTTTTCTCAACTTCGGTTTTTTTTCAGATTAACAAAAGTTTCCAAACAAAGTTTCTGCTCAAATTTTTGATAATTTTTTGTTTCGTTGTTGTTGCAAATAATTTAGGTAAATAATTCGTCTTGCATAAGTAAAATAGAAAATGTTTACTCGTGAAGGATTTAGTGGTCCTGTTACCTAAAGTTGCTGAAAAATAAAATTTTCTTAAAAATGTTATTTAAGAGAATATATATATATATATATATATATATATATATATATATATATATATATATATATATATATATATATATATATTTTATTATTATATCTGGGATTTAAAAAAATGTCGCGATTACACTTATTTTACATAAACCAAAAATTGAAACACATTCAGCTAATATGTTAATAACTTTATTTCAAAAAAAGATATAATTGAATTAAATGTTCTTAACATTTAATGTTTTTAGTTTAACTTACATCTATCATAGAAATATTGATTTCAATTTTCTGTTTATGTTTGAATGTAATTGCGGCATTTTTGAAACACAAATTTTTTTTCTCCGATATTCTTTTTTTTCGCCGAAAAACCTTTTTTTTAATCTTTTCCTATCCTCTTATACTTCGTTATACTCTTGCAAAGCTACTTTTTAAAAGAAGCATTGAGCATAAAAGCATTTATAATATGTTACCTATAAAAAGAACTTTTTTTTAGCTTTACCCTAAGCAATATTTTCTTTATTATCTTTTCCTAGACTAGGACCTAGTTAATGGTATTACATTATAATTATTGCCAATAAATATTTGAGATAAATGATTATGAAATAAAGTTAAAGTTTATTTTAAGTAGAAAAAATTCCATTTAGTTTTTCAATGTTAATTTATGTTTTAGTTTTATAAGAATTTAATTAGTTTAAGATTTTGACTAGCTCAATGTTCATGTTGTAAAAAAAAAGTTTTACGATGTTGTAATTTACACAAAATCAGATTAATATCACAAGAAAACATTGTCATTAAATTAGAGACTTCGTAAAAATTTTTATAAATGTTATATAATATATAAAAAGTATTACAGATGAGTTATACCGATCAAGTTTGTTGATAAAAAAACATTAAATGTTGTTAAAATAATTTTTAAAAATTCTGCAAAAAAATATTATTTTTAAAAGATATCTGCAATTAAGAAATCAAATTGTTTTTCATTAAGTATATAAAAACAATTAAAACTGTATAAGCATTGTTTTAGAAAATTGTTTGGAAATTTAGATTTTAGAAAAATTTCAAATCAAAAATCTGAATGAAAAAATCTTTCCTGGAAAGTTGCATCGGGAATATTCAAAACATCAACGACCTAAGTTGTAAAACTATTTTCAAAAAGATAATGCATATATAGTAAAATTTTTAAATTAATTTAGGTTTTAAACAAACAAAAAAACTTAAATTTGTGAAGTTATTCATAAAATTTTGACATTTCTTTCTTAGTAAAATATTTGTCTTTTTGTAAATTACAGTAGTATGTAATTACATATTTTTCTTATTATTAATCATAGTATGTGATTATATTTAAACAAATTAACCTTAAGGTATATATTTAAATATATATAAAAAAGTATATATTCAAACCTTAAGGTTTATAAATTTTTAATTGTGTATTTAAATTTGCAAAATAGTTATTCAAAAATAACTTTAAAAATTTTCAAATAATTTACCTTCTTAGTAAGAAGGTAAATTATTTATATAATTTGTGAGAATCTTACAAATTTAGTAGTATATACTTTTAACTAATATATCCTTTAGCAAATAGACATTAAAGATATATTGGTTAGTTTAATAACTTCTATAAAATGGCAAAATATACTTTAAAAAGAATTGTTTTTAATTTTTTTTTTTAATCATTCAGAAACAACATATTATAAATTTTTTATTAAACATATTATTAATTATTAAAAAACATAAAGTTTTTAAAAGCAATATTCAAAACCAGATGGTAAAGAAGTTTTAAAAGCTTAACCATCAGATAAACAGAATCAGGTCCAAATTGAATGTTCATGAATCTCAATAGTCATTGTACCCTACTCTACTCTAGAGTGGGGCATTAACAGCATTTTTATTATTTCATCTTAATAACAGAAATAAGTACAGAAAAAACTAAAAAAGGAGTTCAAAAATAATAAAGCACAAAAAAAGGAAAATTTACTTTGAAGAGTGTAATTTAAAAACAATTGCACTTTGAAGGAGCAAAAAAAAAAGCTTATTGTGTAATTATACTATGATATGAGTTTTAAAACATCAATACTAATTTCAGTTTTAATTTGGAAAAAATCTTAAGCATATATATATATATATATATATATATATATATATATATATATATATATATATATATATATATATATATATATATATATATATATATATATATATATGAGCAAAAAAAAAAGCTTATTGTGTAATAATACTATGATATGAGTTTTAAAACTTCAATACTAATTTCAGTTTTAATTTGGAAAAAATTTTAAGCATATTGAGTTTAATTCCAACTTACATAAAATAATAGCTGTGCTACAAACCTATTTTGTTAGTTGGTTTATGTATGAAGCATTGAAATAAGAAACTGGTTTCATTTGATACTAAAGTTGTTACAAAAGCTTAAATATTTCATTCCAGAAGTTAAAACTTTTAAAATAGGAATAAAATAAAAAGCATCTTTTTAATGATTCTGGATATCAAACTCAGGAAGCTACTGATATGCTTCAGGTATCATTAAATAAATTAATATGATATATTTGGTATTTTCCTAAATGCTTCCCTACCATCCCTGTTACTTTAAAATCTGAATATTGAGATAGGGCTGAGATTCGTGGTTCCTAAATTTATATATATATATATATATATATATATATATATATATATATATATATATATATATATATATATATATATATATATGTATATATATAAATTTAGAATCTTTAAATTTATATATATATATATATATATATATATATATATATATATATATATATATATATATATATATATATATATATATATATATATCCTGTCTATTCAAACTTTGCTACAGTCAGTAGAGTTACCTATTTGAGTCAATTATTTGATAAATACAAAACTAAAAAATAAATATATATACTTTTTTTTTGATGTTGGATAGAAAACAATAAAATATTTAAATAAATTATAAAGATTTTTTATTGTTATGATTCACTAAAATTAATTATAAAGAATGTTGCATAGTTTCTAAATACTATAAATTTGATTTAGTGAATAATATTAGTCTTAATTTTTATGTGTACTTGATGTCATTAGGATGTGTATTTGATGTCATTAGGATGTCTACTTGATGTCATTAGGATGTGTACTTGATGTCATTAGGATGTGTAATTGATGTCATTAGGATTTATAATGCGAAAATTTTAATAAGCAAATGTTGGGTGCATTGCATTTATAAACTCAAAAATATGCACCTGTCTTGGTACTATATTTTTGAGTTAGTGTGTGCATACAAGAATGAAAATCTGTACTTCAATATTGATGGATGGTCAACATGGAAATCATTTTTATCTCTACTTTTAGAAAACCAACTTATTATTATTATTTTTTTAATAACATTTAATTTTATTAAGGTATCCTAGCTTTTGTTTTGAAGGAGCATGTAGTCTACACAAAATTTAATTCAACAGCATTATACAAAACTCCCCAAAAAACTAAAATTTTATAAGGTTTTGTTTTGAAAATTTGGAGTTTGATCTTTTAGTGTGTTTTTGCGCTGGTGCAATTGATTCTATTCTTAAGTTGACCAATCATTTTCTAGCTTAATTAGATTAGCAGTCATGACCAAATTAAATAAAATCTAAAATTTATTACATAATGCAAGTTTTTTTGTGGTTTTTGTATTGTTATTAGATATGTTATTTAATCAGTTTTTTAGTGTAACAACTAAAAGATTGTGTATTTAATTAAAACCTGATTCTATAACAAAGAGTAAAAACATTTAATAACAGTATCTCACTTTTTTTTCTGCATTACACGAAAGGGATCATAAAATTTTATCTTTGATTGTTAGATTATGGTACACTGAATATAGATTTCACTGAATACAGATTTCACTGTTTTCACAATGAGTAATCTTTAAACAAAGTTTGATTTGTTTTATTAGAATATCTTGAAACATCATCATACCTATGAATTGTTTTGATTGGTCATTTACAAAACAAAAGTTTCTGCATACTTATGAAAACCTATAAATCATGGCTGAGTTTGCTTATAGTTTGGTGGAAATGTGAATCAGTTTTTGATTCGTTGCTTCTTAAGCCCAATCTGTCCAAAATTAGGTAAGAACAATAATCAACCAAGAGATAAAGTTAAAAAGGTTTTCCCAATATTTGTATTCATTTTAAAAGTCTCCTTGATATCTTGATTTACTTTGTTCTCAAGCCAAGGAAGGTCATAGCTAGGCATATCTAATGATGAAATAGCTGATACAGTTTTTAACTTCTTCTCCTATGTTAATCTATCACAGATTAACATAGGAGATCTATCTAATCTAATAAAACTAGATGATGAATTAACATTGCAACTATTTCTGCATGCAAATTTTTTAGCATCTCTTATAATCCATGTTTTGCCAATGTAAAGAAAAATTTTTGACTTTCTTCTAAAAATTAACTCTATTTTAACTTCCAAATAAAACATAATCATTTTATAATAATGAACAACAGTTTATCTGAATTATTCTTTTGAGAAATAGTCAGATTTTTTATGCTACGCTTTCTCATAGGTCACTAATTTCCTAAAAATGAATATTTAATTCAGTTGGATGATGCTTATAAGCTATTAGAAGAATATTCGTTAGATATTTTGATAGTTTATAATTTATTCTTCCCATTATTGCATGATGCTGTATCAAAGCAAGTTCCTCTAGTTTTTGATGCAATTAAATCCTTAATTAAATCTGTTATGCTATTAGGAACTGATTTTACGAAGTAATGAGATACTCCAACTAGGTAAGTCTCTCTATTAATACTATCTAAAGCTTTAATATTTTTTAAATGAATAATGGATATGAGGATTTGTTTATTGCTATTAAAGTATTACATGCTTTTTTTACAAATTTTTTGAGTATAAGAATAACAATATTTTTATTATATATCAACAGAGTATGGCTATACTGTAGTCAAGATGTATAAAATTTAAAAACCAACCAACTGTTTTTAACACTGGTTCATAATAATTTAAATAGGATTTAATATCCTTATATAAGTTTTATACTATTGTGAGAAATGAGCGAAAACCTAAATTTTACCAATTGAAATTTACAACATTTTTTAAAGGTTTACGCTTTTTAAAGCTTACACTAAAAGATTACACTAAAAGTTTTTATTCTTATCAGTGACTGATCTATATATATATATATATATATATATATATATATATATATATATATATATATATATATATATTATAATGTATATATATATATATATATATTATAATATATATATATATATATTTATATATATATATATATATATATATATATATATATGTATATATATATATATATATATATATATATATATATATATATATATATTATAATATATATATATATATATTATAATATATATATATATATTATAATATATATATATATTTATATATATATATATGTATATATATATATATGTATATATATATATATATATATATATATATATATATATATATATATATATATACACGTAAAAATATAAGTATATATTGAAATATATATATATATTTCAATATATACTTATATTTATACATGTGTGTATATATATATGTATATATATATATATATATATATATATATATATATATATATATATATATATATATATAATATATCTTGAATGCTCATGTAATTTTTAGATGTAAAGTTAAGAAATATCCTGTTGATTTACCACCAACTTCAGTGATTATATGCTTTCATAATGAGGCTTGGTCGACATTATTGCGCACTGTGCATAGTGTCATAAATAGGACACCACCCCAATATTTAAAAGAAATAATTCTTGTAGATGATGCAAGTACTAGTGGTAAAATCAGTTTTTTATAATATTTTGATTTTAAAAATATTTAGATACTATATTAATAACATTATTTATTTAAATATCTTCTTTTTTTTTTTGACTACTTCTTAGTTTTTAATTTTTACATTTATTTTGGAACTTATTTCATGAATCATTAATAAATATTTATTCATGTTTGCTCACTTTTGTGATTAAACATGAATAAATATTTGAAAATATATCTGTGAATATATATTTGCAAATATGTAGTTGTATTGGTAGCACAATATTTGAAACTTGTAGAAAATTAGTGTTTAGTAATTTTTCATATCCTTGTGAAATTGAAAAAAAATTTATTATAAGAATTTGTGAAAAAAAAGTTTAAAATTCTTCATTTTTCTTGAATTTATAATCAATGAATTTCTTCTTACCTCATTCAAGCATTTTCTTTTCTTTTAAAATTGGTATTCTAAAATTATAATTTGTTTTCAACACAATAAGAAATCAATGTTCTAGTTCACTTAGGAATGTTTTGTTTTGTTTGATGATACCTGTCTGAATCCCTGATGTTTACTGTTTCAAAGAGCCTAGAATACCTAAGTATGCATTTGGTAAGGGAGTTTCCGAAAAGTTGTTTTGATATTTTTTGATAGCTAATGATACCAAAACAAATAATTTTGATAGCTACTGATACTGAAACAAAACAAAAAAAAAAAGGTAAAATAATAATATAATTACTTTAGTAAAATTAAAGTTATGTTTTATTATAATAAAATGTTACTGTAGATTATTACATTTAGATGATTTGAAACAACGACTTGATGACTATATTCCAAATTTAAAAATTGTCTCAATTGTTCGATTGCGTGATCGCCAGGGACTAATTCGTGCTCGTCTTGAAGGAGCTAAAAAAGCAAAAGGACCAATACTTACTTTTTTAGATGCACATTGTGAATGTACACTTGGGTGGGCAGAACCCCTACTAGCAAAAATTAAAGAAGACAGGCAGAATGTAGTAATGCCAGTCATTGATGAAATTAGTGAAACAAATTTTAATTATAACGCAGTACCTGAACCTTTCCAAAGAGGTGTGTTTAAATGGAGACTGGAGTTCACTTGGAGACCTATACCTTCTTATGAAGAGCAAAGAAGAAAGCACGAGTCTGATGGCATAAGGTAATACTAGTGTTTAAATATACTGAAATGAGGTAGTTTATGCTGAAACAGTATAATTTATGCGGACACAAAGTAACTTTAATTATTAAAAATTAATAATTAAAACATGTTGACTTAAAAATAAAAATTATCTTTAGAACTCCTGTAATGGCTGGAGGTTTGTTTTCAATTAATCGTGATTATTTTTATGAAATGGGAAGTTACGATACTGGCATGGATATCTGGGGTGGAGAAAATATTGAAATCTCATTCAGGGTAAATACAATATAATCATATTTTTAAATAAATGTAAGAACCAGATATATGATGGCGTAAAATACAAAAATGTTTTTACTCATTTTTTTACCAATTTGTTTGTTTCTCAAATAAATTTATAGAAAAATTTATTTTCTATTAATTTATTTGATGCAACATTTAACACATTGAAAATTAACAAATTTTTAAAAAATGCCAAAAGTTTTATTAAAAATGTTATTCACGGTTTGTTGGGACATCAAGACTTTATTTAGAATTAGTTTTTACATTTTTTATTTATCTTTTTTTTTTAATTTCATCTTTTTCAGATATGGATGTGTGGTGGATCAATTGAAATGCTTCCATGTTCAAGAGTGGGCCATGTGTTTCGACCAAGATTTCCATACTCATTTCCGAATCGACGAGGTGGAGATGGAGATGTGGTAAGCCGAAACTTAATGAGAGTTGCTGATGTTTGGATGGATGAATATGCTAAACACTTTTATAATATAAGGTCAGTATCTTTTTATATGAGCTCTTCTTTATGACGAAATAAAAAATTCTATAATGATATAATAATATTTTTTATGATGAAATAAAAATACTTTTTATAAAATTATAACTTCAATAAATTTATTTGCAAACAAAAGTGTATGATAAAAATGCAAAAAGTTTTAAAACATAAGATGGCCGATTTTATTTATTGCTTAATTATTCTGATAAAGTTAATTAAAACTAAAAAATTTACATGTGATTAAGTCTCTCAAAATAATAATCTCAGTAATGTGTTGATGAAATCAAGTGATGTAATGATGTGTTTAAATCAAGTGATACCATCATGATAGTTGATGTGGCCTTTGAAATCAAATGATGTCATTGTTTTTTATGTGGAAATGTGGTAGTGTAACAAATCTAGTTAAAATGTAATGCATTTTTCAAGTGTGACTCACTGAGAGTTTCTCCTTGACATCTTGTAGGTTTGACAAAAGCCTTAAAAATAAAATCTTGCATTTACTAAGCAAAATTGGTGTGATTTTATTTACTAAGCAAAATAGGTATGCTATGATATGATACAATTACTTTATATGTTAGTGCATAGAATGTTAATGTATTGGTATTTTAGGTGATAATTTTTTTTTTTACTGTGTTTAAAATTTTAAAAAAAGTGTTAAAAACTCTACACCACTACTGCATATTAATAGTTAAAGTAGTTGTAGTATTTGTCTAGTTGAAGTAAAACTGAAGTAAATGTACATGTAATGTTGATAAGATCAGATATTAGACAGTTGCATATATATACAAGTTCTTGCATATTTATGAATATGAAATTTACACATTGAAATTTACTTTACTTGTATACTATTTGTACCTATTGCATTTAGATAAAAGTACGTTAGAGTGATATCTTTGTTCAAGTAGTTATTTAAGTTATTCCATCATCTGCCAAATCAGGCACTATCGTCAGTCATACTAATAGATATAACAGATCTCATAGTATTTTTGGTGCTCATAGCTTATGACTATTTTTATCTCAGGTTAACCTTAAAAATAGTTAGTTTTGAGTGTAGTAAATATGCCATGGGTGAAATAAAGAAAAGTAAAAAGGGTTTTAATAATCCAAGTTACTGTTTACACAGGTTGCAGATTAAACAGACCCAGTTTAGTTTGTTGCAAATTTTTTATCATTGTTTAATTTTACTCACTATATTTCCTAAACTATAAGTTGTTGACATAAATAAACAAAACTACAAGTTCTTGACATAAATAAATAAACTACAAGTTATTGACATAAATAAAAAGTACAAGATAACTTTAGCAAATTTACAGAAATTACAAAATTATGAATTTGAGTAGGTCTTTATATACATTTGTATCCAACATAAAGGATTGGTATCCAACTGGTATCTAAAAGTACCTAGGGTTCATCATCTAGAACAAGCTCAACATATTTATATGTGTGTGTGTGTGTGTGTGTGTGTGTGTGTGTGTGTGTGTGCAACAAATAGAGTGCTCAATGTTCTTAAAGAATAGAGCAATAAATTAATACACTTTATATAAGTGTTTTTACTATTTTATATATATTAAATAAATGCATTTAAAAATTTTTTTTTCCTTATGCTCTCAAACTTTTATTTGGTTTCATTTTATCCAAAAATTTTGAAAATTTTGGTATCTATTGATGTTTAGGGATTGCTTAGCCCAATTTTTTAAGTTTGCAGAGTTGTTCAAACATTTTTCATATTTTATCATTTATCTCTTCTATTTAACTAATTAAGTTGAGAATGTTATCAATATTTTATTATTTGTTAATTATTTATTATTCTTATGAATCATTATGCATAATACACATTGTTATTTTTTTCAGATTAATAAGTTAAAAATAAAATAAGTTGGCTGGCATTCAGAACACCCAATGTAATATTTCATCATCCAGTTAAGTTATTGCATGAGTATTGCACTACTGCTGAGTTTATTGCATCATCCTAAAATTACAAATAAAATCATTGTCTTGAATAAAAATACATTTTTAAAACACAATATTAGACAGATTTTCCAAGTTGGTTTAAAATAAATGGAGACTAGAAGTCAAAATGAAGTATAGTGTATTGGTCAAGCTACAGCTATGATCACAGGGCACAAATTTCCATCTAAAAGACTAGTCTTAAAAATTGAAAAAAAATAAAAATAATAACAATGTAAAAGAATGTGAAGGTCTTGTGACATCAGATTTTCGACATTTGGCAAAGAGTTAGAATTCCAACAAAACAAGGTTATCATGTTATAACACATTTTAAAAAACTTGTTGAGAAATACAAAAATCTGAAAAAGGATAAAGGCTGCAAAACAGAAACTCAGCAAGGAAAGGAGGCTACAAAACAAACTCAGCAAGGAAATGAAGAAACCTTTTCTCAAGAAATCAAAGAACTATTTGATATTAGTGATGATATTAGTGACAGAATATGATGTTGAAAAACTGTTGTCAGTCCCAAAACTGGATAGAGTTACCGGTGAACAAATAAGTTATACAACAGAACAAGCTTTAAAAGATTGGAACATTTCATATAAAAAATAAAATAAAAAAAGTTCCAGCGTTCTGTTTTGATACTACTTCAAGCAACATAACATCAAACATACACAACATTCACAAGTATACATTCAGGTGTTTGTAACTTGCTGGAAAAATTAATTGGGAAATATTATTATACACAGCTTTATTATACACAGCTTATCAATACCATGTTAATGACTTGATTTTATCCCATTTTTACTTGTTTTGGACTGTTTATTGGTCCAGAGATTAAGTTTTTTCAACAATTTCATGATTAGTGGAGTAAATATTTTTCTAAATCATGGGTCTTAACTGATGCAGTGTATGGTTTTCTTGTATCATCAGCAGTAGAATATGCTGCAAAGAACAAAACAATCTTGCCACAATTACAAAGAATTTTAGCAACTTTCGATAATTTGCACCAAGCACAATGGATAGCAAAAGCACTCTGTTAAAATCTAATTGTTTTGACATCTATTTTATTTAACAAAAAATGAAGAAAAGAATCTTCCACAGTTTTTAAATTTTTCAATTTTGATTTACATGGACCATTGGTTTCAGGCTCCCATCTTTTCATCTGCTCTTCACAATGACCTGACATTGATTTAGAAATTTAATAATTTCAAAATATTTGACAAAGGAGTGCCTAAATCTGCCATAAAAGCCATTGCAGGACTTTTATGGTATTTAACTTAGGATGTGAGTCTTTCTTATTTCAGCAATGATGTTGAAAACTAAAGAAAAAATGTTAATTGTACTTGAAAAGCCAGACAAAAAAACAAAAAAAGCTTGAAAGCAAAGGATTGATGGAATAAATTATAAACTTAGATAACTTTGTAGCAAAAAGATCAAAATATGTATTCAAAGTGAATTTAAAATAAATTAGAAATTTATGAAGGAACATTGCCTATACAAATGGAACACACTAAGGGGGCATACATAAGGTACATACGCAGTAAAACCACTGATTTAAGACCCCCTTCCCCCTTGTACGAACCTGTAAGCTTTCAAAGAATATTCCCCCCCCCCCCCCTTTTGTGTATGTACGCATTGTTTTTTTTTCAAATTAACTCAATTTCTTTTTTCTTTCCTCATTGTTTATATAGAAAAAAATTGACTAAAATCAGAAAAAAAAAACACAATTTTTACTTAATTCATCCATAAATTGTACTTTACACATGGCCCCTAACCGAATAACAGGAAGCACATAAAGTTGTTAGTTCTATGAAAGTTGTGAATGACACAGCTGAAAGAGCGATGAAACTTGTTTCAGATTACACAAAAATCTTGACAAAAGATGACACTCCATTGAAATATGTTTTACAAACTGTGAAAAAACTTGACATTGATGTTCTGTGAAAGAACATCAATGTCAAATTCCAGATATGAAAAAGTCCACAATTGTGAATGCATTAGTGAAAACAAATCAACAAGTGAATAACTAAATAAATCTGAATAACTAAATAAATTTAACATTGATTAAAAATTGGAATAAAATAATTAAAACTTTTTATTAGAAAAGAATTAAAATTTGTTTTTGTTCTTTGTTCTCTGTTTAAATTTAATAATATTAAGTTTATTGAGCAACCCCTATATAAAATATTATTATAAATATTTTAATATTTTGCACAGTTAATTTTTAGTTAAAAGGAATGCAATAAAAGTTGAGAGTCCAATTTCAAGCACTTTGATTTTTTTTGTCACCCTAATATATATATATATATAGATATATATATATATATATATATATATATATAGATAGATATATATATATATATATATATATATATATATATATATATATATATATATATATATATATATATATATATATGAATATATATATATATATATATATATATATATATATATATATATATATATATATATATGAATATATATAATATATATATATATATATATACATATATATATATATATATATATATATATATATATATATATATATATATATATATATATATATATATATATATATATATATATTATACACACACACACACACACACACACACACATTCCCAGATTTCTGAATACATGTTTTGTATTTAGAAATCTGGGAATTTAAAGCACTTTTATAGCACTTGTTTAGATTACATGATTTAGATTATATGCTATAAAATTGATTATATCCAATAGAATAAGAAAAAATATTTTATGTTGCAATTTTATTATAGAAGAATTTTTAAATTGACATTTATGCTCTAGTTTGACTGCTGTTAAGTTGGGGTTAGTCATAATGGAGGAATAAAGATTAGTTAAGTATGTAATATATATATTAAGAAGCGGCCAGTATCTGGGCACATAGCATGTTATGTGCCCAGAAGCCAATATCAAAGTTTATTATTCGATGGAGTCAAAAGAAAGTTTAAATTATGGAAAATTAAAATATTAGGATACATGAAACATAAAGGTTTAAAAGATGTTATTACTGGTAATTAACAATTACATATGTTGTTATTACTGGAACTGAAAAGATGTTATTAGCTCCATAAGTCTCATAAGAGCTCAAGAAGTCACAATGAAAATGAATTAGCGTTTGCAGAATTAATTCAATACCTAGACTAAAGATTGCTTTTATTTGTAATGAGAGCTTGAGATAAAGGAAGAAAAGCATTCTCAATATTTAAACAACGCTATGCTGGATGTAGCAAACCAAGAGTTATAACATTATACAATCAAATTATATCTTTTAATTGACTCTGAATTCAATTTAAAAATTGAATTCAGAGTCAGTTACTGACTATGAATTCAAGAACGGACCCATCAGCAATGGCATTGAGATCTGCAGGTGAAATTGTGATTTATTCCTAGTAGCAATGGTCTTAAAAGGATTTCCAAATGAATATAAATCTTATGTTGCTGTTGTAACACAATCAGAGACTGTTAAGTGTTTTCAAAAATTTAAACAAGCACTTAGAAGCTTTGAAGAAACTGAAAATTTAAGAAGTAATCAGGCTGAACAAACTAAAAGTAGTGTTAATAAAAATGATGTGAAGTTTAAAAATAAAATTGTTGCAAAATGTTATACATGTGGGACTCCAGGTCACAAATCTACAGATTGCTATAAAAACAAAGAAAGAAAAAGGTGTAATTTGTGTAAATCAGGCACTCATAATGACAAAACTTGAACTTAACAGCAATAGGAAAAAGATAAAGTAAAAAGTTAACAGAACAAAATATTGATCTGTTATTGAAGTTATGTATTTAAAGTTGATGAAGGAAATATGCAACTTTTATTTGAAAATGATTCATTCCTTGTTGATTGTGGTGCAACCACTCATATAGTTAACAATGATAAATATTTTATTTACCTGGGTGAATATTTTAAACCAGACGAACATTGTATTGAGTTGGCTGGTGGTACAAAAACTAAAAATGTGACCCAAAAACGAGGAACAATTTCAGTAGAATTAACTACTGAGGATGGAAATGTAGTTCAAGTTTAACTAGAAAATTTTTTATTTATACCAAGTTACCCTAATTGTATATTTTCTATTCAAGCTGCTGCACAAAAAAATGCATTTGTCAACTTTAAAGATAATAAAGGTGAGTTGATTGCTAAAAATGGGACAATATACCAGAAAGGTAGATTATATTATCTACTCAAAACTTCAATAAGTAAAGTTCAAAAAGAAACCATTGATAGATGGTGTAAAATTCTAAGACATTGTAATTTTGCAGGTTTGAAAAAATTAGAAAATGTTGTTGAAGGTATGAAGATTACCAATCGTAATAGTAAGTTTTGTGAAATATGTACTTTAGGAAAACAAACAAATTTATATAACAGAAAACCTAATATTCAGACAACATATTCATTTGAGTTAGTAATTTAGCTGGACTAGTTGTTTCAATTGCAAAAGATATAAATATGTTATTTGTTTTACTGATGATTATTCTGGTTTATGATTACACTTATTTTTTAAAGCATAGGTCAGACGCTGCACATGCTACAGAAAAGTTCTTTATAGACATTGCTCCATATGGTAATGTAAAGACTTTCATTTAAAAGTGATAAAATTTACCCATCTGGATGTGTTAGTCAAATTAGAAGAGTATGAATATATTTTAATTTCTGAGAAAGAACAGTATTAAGCATGAGAATCACCAAAATGGTAATGCCGAACTTAACTGCCGAAATTCTCCCCACCAAAATGGTAATGCTGAACGAAATTGGCGAACTTTATTTGATGTTGCCAGATGCATGCTTATTGAATATATAATAATGTATATGTATATACCTTAATGACTGCAACTTAATGACTGCAACTTATTTTAGAAATCATTGTTATAGTATTAGACTTGAAAACACTCCATATGGAACTATCACAAAGACTAAGCCAAACCTTTCTAAATTATATATCTTCGGAACAATATGCTATCCCTGTGAAAGTTATAGTAAAAAGTTGGTTCCATGTAATGAAATTGGATATTTTATCGGATATGGCAGAGACTTTTAGAAAAGCGCAACAAAGTATTGATTTGAATGCATTTTGTGATGCTGATTGGGGAGCATCTTACAATGATCAAAGAAGTATTACTGGTTATTGTTTTAGTCTTTAACAAAATAGATCAATCATAGCATGGAAATCTAAGAAACAAGCCTCTGTTGCTCTTTCAACATGCAAAGCTGAGTAAATGGCAATATCTACCACATGCCAAGAGCTAGCATACCTTACCCAATTCCTGAAGGATTTATTTGTGGAAATTATAGATTATATACTTAGTTAATATTTATTCCTCCATTATGACTAACCCCAACTTAAAAAAAGCAACAAAAAATTGTTAAGAATTATTATACTTTATATGCTCTGCAGATACTTTTTGTGCTTTTCTTGGAAATTGTCTATTTTTCTGGACAACCTAGGATTAAAAAAAAATTTAAAAATGCAAAAGAGTAAGAGTCGAAATTGAACTCTAAAATTCAAGCTTTGGTAATTGTTAAAAAAAATTTTTTTAATATATGAAAAATAATGTAAACAGTTTTACTGACATTTTTTTGTAAAGTAATGTATCTTAAAAAATAATGTATCTTAAAAAGTAATGTGCCTTAAAAAGTCATTTACCTTAAAAATGTCCTGAAGTCTTTATCTGTCCTTTCGATTACGTCTTGGATCAACTTAATGTGTAACGTTCAGCCCATTTACGACTCCAAACTGTTTTGCGCAACAAGATTACATTCATTCTTCATTATTGTACTGGCTTACAAACTTAGTGTCAAAGTGAGTCAATAGCATTAAATCTTTTACTTTGTCCATTATCTGCTGTCGGGTGATCATGGCTTCTGACTCATCTGCAAAATGTGTTTTCCTACTTTTCTCTTATTGTTTACCTCCTGATTTCTTAGCTTTTTTTCTTGTGCCTGCATTTTCACTTACGTGGTTCTTAGTTTCTACCGTATTCTGGCATTTTTTTCCTAAAACCATTGTCTGAAAATGAAATGTAATTTTGTAATACTTAGCTCAATGATGCTAAGACTGTAAAATATAAATATCATGTTTAATTTTTTTTTTTATCATACATCATTTTAATCATCTGTTTCATTCTGAACAAATCAGCTGAAAAAGGTTTTTTAACAGTGGAAACAAAAACTTATTTTATAAGAATAAAATTTTTGAAATTGTTACACAGTAACACTGTTGAATCCAAATCTGAATATTTGGATAAAATAGTAATTTAATTTTTATATCTTTGTTTTTATTTTCTATTTTCTTTTTTATTACTCTTCATTTATATTTTAAATTAAATTTTAAGGTTTGATTTGAAAAGAAAGAAGCATGATGATGTCACTGCTCGAGTAAAACTTCGTTCAAAGTTGCAATGTAAAAGTTTTCAGTGGTATTTGGAGAATGTTTATCCAGAACTTGAAATTCCTGATGATAAATTTCTTGCTGCTGGTGAAGTAAGTTGAACATTTTTAACTTTTTGTTTGTTTTTTGTATAGAAACAAAGTATATATATATATATATATATATATATATATATATATATATATATATATATATATATATATATATATATATATATATATATATATATATATATATATATATATATTACATTATAAGTTTATATATTTATATTTCAGTAGTTTAGACATTTAAGACTTCCTGAAAATTAATTTTTGGTATAAATTAAAGTTTTATTAATTTAATCATTCATTTCTGATGAGTCTTTATTGATGAAACACAGTGTTAAATGAAAATTGTTTGTTAAGTGATTTTCTACTATTTTATAATTGCTCTGTTCTTTTAAGAAAATTGAACACTCTATTTTGTAGAATACATTTTAAAGTTGTTTATATATATTTTTTTTGTTTACATGTTTTTATTATTAATAAAATATTTAAAGCTTTTTTAACTTTTCTTGTTATTTTTTATAGAGAATTTCATAAATAATAAACCGTATTAAAAATAAAATTACAAAAATAGAAAACTTTTTAAATTACAAATAAGTAAGAAACTGTTTTATTCTAAATTTTCGATCACTTTAGTTTTTATAAAAATTTATCTTTTTCTTCAGATACGCAATCCAGAAAGCGGTATATGCTTAGATACTTTAGGGAAGCAAGAAGGAGCGCCAGTAGGATTGTATGCTTGTCATGGTCAAGGAGGAAATCAGGTGCATTGTTTGTTTTTTTATATATTTGTGTTCTTGCATAAATGGGCATGTTTTATTACAAATAGATAAACATTTTATCATAGTATTATACGTACAACAATAAAGGTGAAATAAAAGCGGAAGATAATTGCATGGATTTTAACGGTCACGATCTTTATATTAGAGAATGCGATGGATTAGGTTTAAATCAAAAGTGGACTTACAAGGTATTACATTTTTTTGGACTTACTAGCCCAGTGGGCACAAGAAATGTTTTAGACGTTTTAAAAACGTCTTAATAGTACTGCGCTCTTTTGTTTCGAATTTTTTGTTCAAATGTTCTTCCTTGTTTTATAGAATCTTTATGTTTTTAGAACCAGCGTATTTTAAACGATCGTTTCAATATGTGTTTGCAAATTAAAGGAACTAAGTATGCAAGTGTAGGACCATGCCTTAATGTAAAATTTCAGGAGTGGTCATTTAACAAAATTGATGACATGGCAAGGTGATAAATAATGAAATGTTGAAAAAAGAAAGTGATGCAATATGTTTAATATTTTAAAAATCAATAATAAATTAAAATAGCAATGTTTCTCCAGCTTACTGTTAATGCTTTTTTTTCTAGAAAATTTCTTAATTTTGTTTACTAAATAGCTATTTAAAATAATATATATATAATTATATAAATAAAAGTAATATTTGTAAATAATAATAAATTTTGGTTATTTATATATGATTTATATTTGGTAGGTAATTTTGTAATTTTTATAAAAACAAAAATGTTATTTTAAAAACATGTTTTTTTTTTTAATCGTAAGGTGTTTGGTTACGTATTATAATATTTGTTATATATGTATTATATATTATGTATTATTTTTATATATTATATTTATATATTATATTATTATTTACTTGATGCGTATTATTTTATACGTGTGTAACGAAAGTGAGATTTATTTCACGTGTATAAAATAAACAAATATATAGAAATTAAATAAATGTATGCAAAGAAAATGTTATAGAAATTAAATAAATGCATGCAAAGCTAATAATAAGCTAATTGCATTTTGAGTCATTATTTTTTTAACAAAACCATTTTTATTGTAATATTTTTTTAACAAAACCATTTTTATTGTAATATTTTTTTAACAAAACCATTTTTATTGTAATATTTAAAAAAAAACATTTTTATTGTAATATTGCATTGCATGTATTAAAATAATAGTCTGTGTTCACTATAAACAGTTTAATTCAATTGATTTGAAATTCAACCTTTTAACGATGGGAGAGAAGTAGAGGCAAACTTTTAATAATGGAAGAGAAAGAGATGCAATTTTTTAACGATAGGGAAAAAAAATCTTTTAACGATGGGACAAAGGATCAAGCTTGGCAGTTAAAGCAGAAACAAAAAAAAATTACAACTTTTGCATTTCTGGACCATAACTAAAAGAAAAAGATTCTCAGAAACTAGGGCGAAAATGGCAACAGTATGTCATACTATGGCAACATCTTCAAATTTCATTTGCCATACAATAATGATTTAATTGTTTTAAATTAACTTTAATTCGAACAAAACTATTCAGTATTTGTAGAAAGGCAATTGTTTTTATATAAACTTTTTTTTTTTATATTAGCATTTGTTCCATTTATTTCATCAGTTTGATAAAAATTATTTATACCAAACATTTTTTATATATTTTTTTAAATAAAATAAATTACACGTTTTAATAATAAACGTTTTTCAAAGTTAAATGTAAAAAAGAGTGCGTTATACTAAAAACTAATTGTTTAACATTAAAAACTAAGTTTATTTATAGCTGTGGCTATGACTGGTAAACATTAGCTCAAACAGAAGCTTGCTTGTTCTAAGCGATCAAATAATAAAGAATTTTTTGTTAAACTGGAGTTACTTTATCAGCAAATAGACATTGTAGATTATAGAAAGATCATTAGAGTAGGTTAACCCTAACCCCTAACCCTGACAGAGTAGATGAGGAATAACACAGAACTAATGATAGAACCCTAGAAGTTACTGAAAATAAATGATATTGTTGTCTATAAAGGATTACTTAAATATTGCGGAAAAAAAGGAATGATTTTATTTTCCTAAATACACCATATAAAATGAGCTTATGGAGAGGACCAGCATGCATTACATGCCAGACTTAATCAAAAGCCTATGATATGTTAAAACCAGGTGCTCTAGTGACGCTATTTTTATCTAAAAGAGAACCATTTTGTTATAAAGGGTAAAAAGTCAGCAGTTGAACAACAGAATTAAAATCATTATTGATTGTCAAAGAGTTGTTAGATTTCATGTAAGACATTAGAAGTTTGTTAATTAAATTACTATATGACTAACAACAGTAAGAAAACTGATTGATTAATGATAAGAGGGGTCAGAGCAATCTTTAGAGTTTTTAACAATCCACAAATGTCATTTTTTAGCAGGCGGTAAAAAAAAGATTCGATTATCTCTGATTCGGTTATTTGTTAAACAGAGAGGAACAAACTGAGTTCTTTTGAAATTTTTTAAATAACTATGACAAAAACCATGTCTGGACAACAGTAGCGTTGTCTCGACCACCTGTTGTAGTGGAGTTTAGGTGAAAAGTAACTTTAGCAACGGAAGCAGGAGGGATTTATATGTCTAACATTTGATTAACCTGTTTTAGAAGACTGAAGGAGTGCGATTGTTAGATTAAAAAAAAGAAATAGAAAAAAAAATTCTACGCAAGCATTTTTGTTTAATCTTTGGGAGAGGTTGTCTTATCTTAGGGAAGACCCATGCATTTAAGATGTTGCATGCATGTATGTAAGATTTTTAGACTTTTTTGATGATTTTTTTTAAGATTTTTTGAATGTTTTTAGAACTTAATTTCTGAGATAAAAAAGAAAATTTAGTATTTTTTAAATAGAAACAATTTAAAGTAAATTTAGTAAATAATTAACTGAATTAATACATAAGTATATGCCTTGAGCAACCAAATGACGTCAAAAAGAAGATTGTAGTAGAGGTTGGAGGAGATTGTAGTAGAGGTTGGAGGAGATTGTAGTAGAGATTGGAGGAGATTGAAAGGTTATATACCGGTTGTATAGGTTGTATATTTACTTTTATCTGAACTCAAGACTGAAACTGAAAATTGGAAAAAATTATTCCAACATATTCTAGATGTTATTCTTTTTCTTTCTGAATATGGATTGGCACTTGGCACTTTTTGGTTCAAATCAACAAACAGGTGATCGAGTGAATGGAATCTCTTTAGGTATTATTGAACTTCTTAGCAAATATGACCCACTTTATAATCACAACAGTGTAAGCAGCGAATGCAAGCTCATTATTTTTCAATATTGAAAAAAAATGAGCTTGCATTCGCTGCTTACACTGTTGTGATTACAAAGTGGGTCATATTTGCTAAGAAGTTCAAGATTTCTTGGAGGATCGCTGTTTGAACACATGAACCACAAATATCAATAAATTTGTTCTGAATTCGTATTGCAATACGAATTCAGAACAAATTTATTGATATTTGTGGTTCATATGTTCAAACAGCGATCCTCCAAGAAATTGTGAAATCAAAATATTCTTCAATAACAGTTGATGCTACTCCAGATTGCTCGTACAAAAAGCAAATTACTCTAGTTATTCGTTATGTTAAAGTTTTAGATAATTCAAATTTTTCAGTTGAAAAAATATTTATTTTATTGGAAAATTTCTCAAAATTAACTGGAAGAGAAGTTGCTACGCGAACACTAGAAATACTGAAAACTTTGAAGCTGGATTTCAAAGCCTGCATTGGTCAAACTTACGACAACGGTGTTATACTGGAAAGTATAACGGGGTGCAAGTGGTTGTGATAGAACAAAATCCAAACTGTATATTTTCTAGCTGCGGGAATCATGCAAAGAAACAGTGACGTATTTTATATTCAGCAAATGTACAATCTATTAAGTAGCAGTCCTCAAAGGTGGAAATTCTAAAACAACATCTTCCTGTTTTGTTGCATGGAATGTCCAAAAAAAAATGGTCAGCACAGATTGATGGCGTTAAACCAGTTGCACCATATTTGAATTTAGTAAGAAATACTTTAAATAAACTTGGGGTACTACATTTAACAGCCCAGGCTAAAATGAAACTCAATGCTATTCAAAATTATATTTCCAAATTTGATTGCATTTTTATGTCATCTATCTGGATGAAGCTACTCACAATGATTCATCAGACAAATCTAATCATCGAGGCACAGCATGCTACTCTTGGTGTTGAAAAGGATAACATTGAAAACCAAAATTTGTTGCAAGAAATATTAGTGTTTCATGTGAGTTTTTAACTAATCGTCATTTTCCAATTCAAGATGATACTGAGCTGTATTTTAAAATCAATGTATATTTTGTCATCGTTGACTCGATTCAATCTGGCCTCACGCGACGATTTTAGTCGTTACAAGAAATTTGTAAACTTTTTGAATTTCTATGGCAGTTTAAAAATTTGAATGACGAAGATCTTGTTTTGGCAGCTCAATATTTTTAGCATAAATATGACAAAGAAATCTCACAAGAACTTGAAAATTAGGTTTTATTTCTTAAAAGAATCTATGGTGGTAATTTTAAAATCGACTGCACACCAAAAAAGTTGCTGGAGTAAACTCTTGGACTTGGTCTTTCAAGTGTCCTTCCAAACATTACAATTGCATTACGCATTTTTATCAGCTTGCCTGCATCGACGGCTTCTGGCGAACGCACATTTAATGTTTTAAAGCAGATAAAAATTTGTCATCGTTCAACTTTGGGGGAGGAACAATTGAATGGACTTGCTATGCTAAATATAAATTACGATATTGCATAAAAACTGGATTTTTCAAATATAATTGCTGCATTTTCAGAAAAAAAGAAAAGCAATAAAGGTGTTTGTGAAAAATAAATAAAACTAATTCATTCTGTTTTAATTACATTAAGTGAATTTCTTTAAATTTTATTTTCAAAATGTGACCTTAATTTAACTACTAATTTATAGTGATTTGCATTTAATTACCTATTGAAAAAAACCAATAAATAAAAATCAATGAATAATTATTTATGTATGAATCATACATTTGTGAAATCTGAATTGTAACATTCACAATAAAGTAACAATGTAACACTCCACTCGTACGGCTGTACTTTTCCAATTCGCAGGCCTCCCTAAGATATATGTAGTTAGTAGACTAGCGCATTTCTTGGCTAGTTGGCTTGATAAAACGCACAAAAAGCGCCACATTTGTGAGTGAAGGTCTGTCTAATTTATTGCATTTATTCTGAAAATTACACATTTATCACACACATTTATCTGGTGCCGAACTATCGGAAGACTAAAAATGGCTTTGCATTTGCGTCGCGTTTTCTGCAAATCCGACCATCACGGATCCGACCATCGCGTTTTCTGCAAATCCGACCATCACGGATCCGACCATCGCGTTTTCTGCAAATCCGACCATCACGTTTATGGGGGCATCATCAGATGACAAAAAAATATTACCATTATGCCAAATAAAAAATTGAAAACATCCAATAAAGAAATTAAAAATGTTTACTTTGTTAATATATTTCGATTTTTGATTTTGTTTC